GTGTGTGTGTGTGTGTGTGTGTGTGTGTGTGTGTGTGTGTGTGTGTGAAAGAGAGAGAGAAAGAGAGAGAGAGAGGGAGGGAGAGAGAGAGAGAGAATGACAAGCTCCAAATCATACCACCAAGGAGGATCAGAGCCATAACTGAGTCCAGGTTTTCTGGGATTTTCAATTTAGGAGCCCAAAGAAAAACTCATCAATAAAAAAGCACTGTATGGTTGTTCTTTGCTCTGTACCATTGTTTGACATTTTGTATTAAAATTAATAATAATTTGAGGGCTAGGTGATGGCTCAGTTGGTAAAGTGCTTGCTGTATAAGCATAAGGGCACCCAAATTTGATTTCCAGCGTTCATGAAGAAGTTGTATATGGCAGCGTGCTCCTGTAACTTGGTGTGTGGAGGCAGAGAAAGGGGGAATCCCTGGAGCTTGCTTGCCAATCAATCTAGCCAAGTCAGCCAGCTTCAGGCTCAATGACCTTTAGTTTCATTCGTTGCTATCATAAGACGCCCTGCAGGGGAGGCAGGGGATTTCTTTGGCTAACACTTCCCGGTCAGCATCCATCACTGGAAAACACAAGTAGGAAACGAAAGACAGGCCTGCTTGCTATTCCACACTGTCACCTCTAACTAGGGAAAGCACTCGCAGCCCAAGGAAATGCATTCAAGCCATGGATGAGCTCTGCTGACTGGCTTAGTCATGGCTTATGCTTTACTTCTGTCTTAGCCGGGGTTCCTATTGCGGTGAAGAGACACCATGACCATGACAACTCTTATAAAGGAAAACATTTAATTGGCACGGCTTGCTTACAGTTCAGAAGTTTAGTTCCTTTAGTCATGGCGGGAAGCAAGGCAGCGTGCAGTCAGACATGGTGTTAGAGAAGGAGCTGAGAGTCCTTACATCTTGACTCACAGGTGTCGCTTGAGCATAGGAGACCTCAAAGTCCCCTCCCACAGTGGCACACTTCCTCTAACAAGGCACCACTCCCTTTGGGGGTCATTTTCTTTTAAACCATGACAACAAGCTTTCTTCTACATCCCAGGACCATTCGCCCAGGGAATGGTGCCACCCACAGTGGTCTGGGCCCTCCTATAACAATGAACAATCAAGATAGCTCCCCTCCCCCAGTAGACATAAGACAGGTCAGTCAGATTCTAAATCAAGGCTCTGTTCTCAATGACTGTGTCAAGTTACAGTTAACCAGGGTAATAAATAAATAATTTTAAATTAAGAAAAAAAAAGTTCACCAGGATACCCTGTCTCAAAAAATAAGGTGGATAGCAATTGAGGAAGACATCTGATTCTGGCCTCTATGTGCATATGTGTACATGTATGTGTGCATTCAAACATATGTATGCACACACATACACACGAGATATAGTAACAACTTATTGGTATTCTAATGGTATTCTACTTTAATTCCATCTCCTACCAACAAAAACATGTCTCTCTGCTAGAACTCCGCTTCAGATTCATCTTACAGCTTATTCTTCATCATCATTATGTGTATACGCAGGGAGTGAGCACATGCCACCCCACCGTGCACATATGAAGGTCACAGACAACTCTCTGCAGTCAGTTTTCTCCTCCTACCTTACGTGGGTTCCGGAAGGTTTGGAGGCCATCGCTGTGTCCACTGAAGCCATGCTGCCAGCCCTGAGCGGTCGTCGATAGCATCACTGTCCACCAGTCCCCACTTTCCCCCATGGGCATGGAGCATTTGATGCAGTCTACATGATGTAAGAGCTACAGCGTCCCACAGGTCCTGTTTGTGTCTGGGGTGGCTTTTGTAGAGCACAGTCTCTGGTGGAGAGGTGGCCATCATCCCACCACCATAGAAGCTCATTCACGACAGAAAGTCCTCACTTGAAGTAAAAAGGAAGAGAATGGTTTTAAATGACTGCGACCCTATCTAGGTCAAGGTCTACTCCGCAAGGACTCTTCCTGCTCCTGCACTTCCCTCCTTATTGTCTACCTAGTATTTGCATTCCTGGCTGTCGTCTGCTACAGGGGGTATTAGAGGAAAAGAAGGAAGGTAATATTCAAGAGTAAAATCTCAATAAATGATTGTCCACACACCTGCTTTGTGACAGAGAGTATAACTGGGAGCCATAGAGAGAAAAAGAGAGCCCTGCTTGTAGGAACATGAACCCTGCTGGACAAATACTGGATGGAAGGGGTGTGTGTGTGTGTGTGTAGTCGGAAAGCAGTTATTGTGGAGAGGAGGAAGGAGGTAAAGACACAGAATGGAACGTACTCTTACACTGGCACTTGAAGTCTGGGAAGAAGCAGAGAGGAATATAAAGGATAAACATGCAGGGGACAGGGCCTTTAGACTAGAGAGTGGACAGCCACAGATAGAGAGAAAGGCTCTGTGTATGGTGACCTGGTGACCTGACATCTGGGCTTACCTCAGTCTGTTCCAACTTCTGGTCAGTATGTCATCAATGTTGTTACTACACCACCCTCTTCACTCTCAAGGGAATCTGTTTCTGGGGCCGAAGAAATGCTCAGCCACATAAAGCTCTCACTGCGCAAACCTAACGACCTATGCTCAGTTCCCGCATCTCGTGATGGGAAATGACGACTCCCAAAAGTTGTCTAACTTCCTCATGTTTGCTGTGGTATGTGCATGCTCATATTTACACACACACACACACACACACACACACACACACACACACATACACAGGAGTGGGGCACAGGAGGTAAAATTAAAAACTCCAAGCATCTTATTCTGGATAGCCAATTACATGATCATGAACATTTCTTGCTAAGTTTAGACTCACCATGATGACTACTGAAAATATCACCCCTGACAGCAACACAGACTAGAATTAGAAGCATATCCATCTGAATGCTACAGGCCAGAGAGGTTGTGAAATGACAGTTCATGGGCCAAAAAAGGTACTGTTTTTTTTTTTTTATCTCATCTGATACACAGGACACTTTTTTTTTTTAACCCTGAAACAACAGTTACTATCATAATATTGAAATAGAACTCTGGATTTCTGCCTTTATTTTACAAATGGTAAAATCTCAAACACGGGTCTTACATGTTCCGCCATGGATGAGTGGGGCTCGGCAGTAGCTAGCAGTATTGTGTCTCATCCCTACCACAGTTGGCAGCCTCCACCATAGTCGCCCAGGGCCTTTGCTGCAGAGTATTCATATCCAACACTGTATCAGGTACCATAGGTGTGTCCCACAGAATGACAGCGTCACTACCAAGATGAGAACATAAGAGACACTTGGCTCTGGTTACCCTCGCTCACTTGATCTGCACTGTAGAGTCTACCGGAAGTCAGCTGACATCTTGTAGAAAGAGACCTCCATGGGGAGGAACCAAAGTGTCCAGCTTTGAGCTTTCTGCAGTGAAGCTTCTAGCTTCAGTTCCTCACTCAGATGACAGAAACCCCGCTAGCACCCTGGATACCACTTTACAAAGGCTCTGAGCCAGAACCATGCAGCCAAACTGCCTTCACCCTTAGAAACACTGTGAATACAAGCACCATTGTTTTCAACCACTAAGTTCAGGAAAGGGCTGCTTCTTCCACAGCGGTAGCTAACTAGTGTGTGAACACAATTGTCCACAGTGGTAGCTACCTAATGTGTGATGCAATTGGTTTATTTAAATTTTTTTGAGATTTTAATGTAGTTACATCATTTATGACCCCTTTTAATTGTTGTTGTTGTGTGTGTATATGTCTAAATACAACCTGCTCAGTCTGTATTATGTTAATGTGTGTGTGTTTCCAGGATGGACACATGGCTTTGGGTAACCCGCTCTCAGCATTCCTTGGGTGCCCACCTTCATGTCCTGTGTATATGTATGTATGTGTGCGGGGCAGGGGGTGTTGCCCGTTGAATATTGTTGAGGGTTCTAAACAAGGAAGGTAGAAGTGCGCTCAGGTCTGGTTCTTGACACATGATGCTGACATTTATGAGAAGGTGGGGCAGGTTAGTTTTAACTGAAAACATGAAGCAATCTAGAGCAGTGGTTCTCAACCTGTGGGTCTCAACCCCTTTGGGAAATCAAACAACTCTATCACAGGGGCCACCTAAGATCATGGGGAAACATAGATATTCACATCACAATTCATAACAGTATCAAAACTATAGTTATGAAGCAAAAACAAAAATAATTTTATGGTTGGGGGTCAGCACAATATGAGGAACTCTATTAAAGGGTTGCAGTGTTAGGAAGGTTGAGAACCACTGATCTAGAGCCTCAATAAGGGATTGTCTAGTTCAAGTTGGCCTATGGGTAGGTCTGTGGAGGGTTGATTTGATTGCATTAATTGATGCGGGGAAACCTGGCCCACTGTGGGCAGCACCATTCCCTGGGTTTGAGAAAGTTAGGTAAGCAACACGCATCCTCACATCTATTTTCTCTGCTCTTGATTGTGGATGTGACGTCTGACTGCTTCTAATCCTTCCCCCTCGACTTCCTGCCCTGATCAACAGTGGTCTGGAACAGTGAGCAACCATAACCCTACCTTCCCTCAGTGACTTGTGTTGGTGTGTCTGACCGGAGTGATTAGAAACAAGATTTGGACAGAACAGAAAGAAATGTTCAGGATCTGACCAAGCTTCCCAAGAAGCTGGTGAGTAGACAGCAATCCAGCATGTCTAAGAACGAAGCTGTTTGCTTTGGGAGAGACCACGGAGGCCAAATTCTCAGAGCACCCTGAAATACTGTAGAAATGCGGCAATTATTTGACGTTTCAGGTCCCTTATCTGGGAAACATGACTGGTGATATTTTTAGCTGAAAAGTCTCTGAATCTCCATCTAACAAGGTCTTAAATAGTTTCTCTTTCTCCCATGACTGAAAAAATGTAGCTGCCGGGCCAGGTCAGCCGTTCAAAGACACCCTCGAGATCTCAAGTTCTTTCTACCTTCCAGCTTTAACTTCCTAAGCATGCTGGTTCATTGCCTCGTGTTTCCAAGATAGGTGCTACGGCTCCAGCCCTCACATTTGTATCTATAGGAACAGAAAGAAATGAAAGCAAGTTGAGTTTGTTTTGCTTCCATTTTTTAATTTTTTAAGTGCACACGTGTCTCTGTGCAAAGGTTTCCTTGGAACTGCCAGTGCAGGCAGTTCTGAGCTGTAACAAACAACCAAACTCAGGTCCTTTGCAAGTGCAAACACACTCTTAACTTCTGAGCCATTTCTCTAGCCCCCAGTTATGAGTTTTAAACTGCCTCATTTTATCAAAAAAATAAAAAGTATCTGTTCTGATTGAAGTCATATTAGCAGTATAAAGGCTGGAAAAGTATCAATATCTTGACACCACAAAAAAATTGAGTTCATAGCCAGGTGGTGGTGGAACATGCCTTTAATCCCATAACTCGGGAGGCAAAGGCAGGTGGATCTCTGAGTTGGAAGGCAGCCTGGTCTACAGAGTGAGTTCCAGGACAGCCAGGGTTGTTACACAGAGAAACCCAAGCCAGAGCCGGAGAAACACTGAATGTACACTTGCTTTGATCGTCTGAGGCAAGGACAGAAACATTCTTTCCTCTGGTCGAGGCCTGCAGGGAGTGAGTGGGTGCCCATAGCTGCAGGGAGTGAGTGGGTGCCCACAGCTGCAGGGAGTGAGTGGGTGCCCACAGCTGCAGGAGTGAGTGAGTGCCCACAGCTGCAGGGATTGAGTGGGTGCCCACAGCTGCAGGAGTGAGTGGGTGCCCACAGCTGCAGGGAGTGAGTGGGTGCCCACAGCTGCAGGGAGTGAGTGGGTGTCCATAGCTGTTGGAGCTGCAATAATGATGCTTCATCACCAACAGGGCAGAGGAATACCTTTAAGACCCGATTAAACTAACGGGCCTGAAAGAAAATGAAACTAGTGCTTTAATAAAAAGCCAGCACTTGGCAGTGCTATTTTCCTTACCTTTAGTTCTCCTCACAAAAGAGTGTTTCCCTCATTACCTAGTCTTTAAAATTAAATTTAAATTGTGCTCCTCAGCACTTTCAAAGTCTCTCCATGAGAATATAAACTTGTTTTTAAATTGTTCCACGAGAGCTCCACCCACAGCAACGGTTGTCCCGATGAACAGCAGGTACGGAGCACACTCAGCTGAGGCGACCACCGTCTCTGCTTTAGACACAGCTCAGTAGCGTGAAGAAGCTATACTGCCTATGGTGGTGATAAAATGTCACAGGCCAGGATGTTTCCATAGCTCAGGGGCAACACAGAACCCTAAAACTTTGAAATGCATTATTGAACAGTCTCAAGGCTGTAGAATAGATAATTAAATAATTGATGGGCTGTCACCCACTTCCCTAGTCAAAAAGAGCAAACCAGGGGCCAGGACACACAAAAAAGCTGACGGCTGTCTAAGTATTAGAACGGGAGAGACAAGTTGTGGTTGACAGTGGTTTTAAAGAAAAGGGAGGTTCTAGGTACCTGTTAAAAAGAATTCAAAACAGGGCCTAGGAGAGAGACTTTCACGCCCACGTTTGTAGTAGTGGTGATTACAATAGACAACAATTGTAAAAGCTACCAAAGAAGGAAAGACTTGGCAAGTGTGCCCTAGGCACCCAGTGGAATAGTATTCCGACTTCAAAGGAAGGAAATGCTAACACATGTTACAACATGGACGGACCTTGAGGACATCGGACTAAATGAAGCAGAAAAACAGCAAATAGAGTTAAGAATGCACTTAACTGAGGTGTCTAGAGACAGAAGCTGGTGGCTGCCAAGGCTGGGCACTAGTGTTTTCAGTGGGGAGATGGAAGTTCTGGCACCGGGTAGTAATGATGGTAGGCAGCAATGGAAACCTACTCCCATCTCGGAAGTGTGCGCTAAACTGTGTGTTCCTGCACACGTGTGCGCATGTGCGCGCGCGCACACACACACACACACACACACACACACACACACATGCTCAAAACCCCCATCTCCACTATCTAGCAAGTCCTTGAAAGTTCAGTCATGGGAAAAAGAAGGAAATAAAATGAAAGAGCCTTCTAGGCTCATCCTAGAAACATCTTTTAGCCACTTCGTGGTGTTTTGTGTGTTGTTCTGTGGTTTCCTTTTTTATAATAAATACACTCCGCATTTCTGATCGGTGGAAAGAGAACCCACCCTGCAGAGTGGTCTGAGCTCCTCTCAAGCCCCCACTGCACCTCAGGTCAAGACCACGATCCTGTGCAGTCTGCTTCTGCTCAAAGGCCTGAAATGTCTTACTTTTTCACGCCCAGCATTTATGGTAACTCGGGGTCAGCTGTTACACGCTGACCTGGAATGGTGTGGTTCTGCAGCTGCCTCGGGCTCCTGGGGCCTCAGATAAACTGGAGCAGTCGGCACCTTCTGGGACATTGGGTAACAGAGCTCATGACAGCCTAAGTCTTGATCGCGATTGGCTCTTTTTTACATTTCTGTTGCGGTTTCTTGGAGGAAACAGGGGTCTCTCATTGAAACGGTGGGGAAATGACTGAATTTTAATGGAATCTAATTGGCCCCCATGGTTATCTCAAAGGAGCAGTGGTCATAAAAGTTAATTAAGTTAGATTCATTTGCATATGCAAGACCATTCTTCCCT